AGTCTCTCAGTACTAAATAAAGGCATCAAAGGAAGCCTTCACCTCAAGCACCAATACTGATGGATCTAGAATCTGTCTGTACTTCTGTACTTAATTTCCATTTGTTAACTTCTGAACAATTAATGAAGGAGTAAACAATAATCTAACAAATTACCAAAATTACCAAAGAACCCCCCCCAAAAAAACCCACAAAACCCAAAAAAATCAAAACCACAAAAAAAACCCCACAAAACAAACAAAAAAACCCCAAACCAAAAACAAACCAAAAAAATCCCAAATAAAATCAAAACAAAACAAACACCAAAAGAAAGATTACGTTGAAGGTGGGTTTCTACAGTAAAATTCCAGGAAAGTTCGAATTGGTTAGGATCTTTTTCACCCTTCCCCATTGTCTGCACCCTTAAAAGTTTACTTAGAACTTGTGCTACACATGCTCCATCTTTTTAACACTTGCACAGATAGGAAGCAAATCTTTCTGATGTGAGCCAGTATAGTGATGGAATAAAACAGAGTTTAAGTGCTCCTACTATTTTTTGATTTGTTCCTTTTGTTTCTCCCCGTTATGCCTAATTCAGGCATTATACTTTCTAGTAATATGTGAGATATAATCTCCACTGCAGTGTGTAGGGCTAAAAGCGGTGGCTGATGGCCCTGATCCTTCTGGCACTCCTGGGACTCCTCACACCACCTTGGTATCGATGAATATGCAAGTTATGGCTATAATTCAGAAACTGGACTTAATGTGGTTTGAATTCTTAGCTCCTAGAAACAGCTAAAGTGCATTTGACTTACTGCTTTTTATTTTATTTAATCCTGCAAGGTAGAAGACTTTTTTTCTGGCTCCTCTAGAAAGGTTAATGCACTGGGCTGGCGGTACTTGTGAGTCCTGCTCTTTTCCCTTTGCTCTGAAACGAGGGGTGCTCACATGCAAGTCCTGCTTCCCCACATGGATGTGGTTACTTGCTTACAAATCCCATGGATTTGTAATAAGTCTGAGAAGCTACCTGGGGATACAGGCAGCTTGAGACATCACGCCACCCCTCTGCTAATGACACATATCTCTAGATCTCCTTTTTAATCTGACCCAAATGGTGCTAGTGTCCTGGTTTTCTCAGTACCTGATCAACAGAAGGACTTGGGTGAGACCTTGATGACCAGCTGAGATTTGATTTAAATAGGGCAGAGGTGATACTGCTGGGGAAAGCAGCCTAAGACTGTGGCAGAGATTATGTCTATTCCTATTAGTGAGAGAGAGTATCCTCACCTGAGTAATTTCAGAATTCAGAGATCAGCACCGGTCTCCTGTGTTTCAAGTTTTAATTTGTCACTGAACTTGTGACAGTTTGGCCTCTGGTGCCTCAGTTTGTATCCCTGAAGTTGGTTCGTAAGCACATGAAACAATTTTAACATATGCACAGATGTGGTGTTTTTTCACAGTAAGCTGTGAAAAACTGCTCATAGTTGGTAATTTTAGCATCTTAAGCAAATATTTATGCAGAGAAAAGACATATATTTCTTAAGGAAAATTGTTAAAAGTTTTGAATTTTGTTAAAGTAAAAAGATGCTAGCTGTTTTTCCTTATACAGAATTTCACAATGTTCTAGAAATTGTTGGATCAGTAGAGTTGATCTGGGTCTGTGAGCACTTACTGATACAGAAAAGTACACAACAATAAACAAATTTTGACGTGGGTTTCTTTGGTAGTAGCAAGGGTGGAAGGAATTGTCTTTTGCTTCCTCAGCAGCCCCCCTGCAGCCTGCCCAGTTTAAGCACAGGACCTTTGTCTAAGCATGAGATACTTGAAAAAAATGTGCTCCAAACCCAAGTGCCAACTTCATATTCAGCTGGGGAAGGTGAGCACCCCTGACAACTCCAGGAAAATCTGTTTGCCTAACTCACAAGTCTAAAGGTCTAACAAGCTGCCCTTCTGGGAGGCCCTCAGAGGCACCTAACTCCTTGTTGACTCAAAAATTTTGAGACATCTCAGCAGGATGAGAGCAGCTGGGCAGAGCTGTTTATCTTTAGACCTTGTCCTTCGGCCATCGTAGGGGTGTCTGACCTCATGCTAATGGCACATCTTAGAGTTGTCCTGGAGCTGTTCCTCCAAGTACTTTGCGGATTGGTTGGCCTCAAAGCTCAGAGATAAAATCGGCTCCCGGATAGTTCGTGCCCACAGTGCAGTGCATGGAACTCTGCCTCAAAAGAGGAATCTGCCCTTGGAGATTTAAAACAGCCCTTTTGTTATGACTCTTTGCTGTAACCATCGTCTTCTTGCCTTGAGGTTGCACAAATCAACTGTCATGAAGTGCCAACTATAACTAATCAGGAGATGAAGGTGAGGAGATGAAGTACTGAAACACAGATACACCCATCTGTAGGTTTACCACGTTTCTCATTCAAATACAGCCTGTCCCACGTGATGGATTTGTGATACACCCTTTCTTGTGAATGAGATTTTTTTTTTTTTATTCTGAATGTCTAAGAAGCAACCCCTACGTTCTGCAGCTACTGCAAGAAATGCTGTGTGGCACCTTATAAACAAAACAATGGTGGTTGGTTATGGGGGTTTCTTTTGGTGGGGTGTGGGGAATGTGTTTTATCTCCATTGCACAGCTTTTTGTTTTGTGAGTTCTCCCCTATACAGAGACAGAGGGGTTTAGATGCAGTGAGAGGACGGAGGAATAAAACAACTGTTGTAGTTGTGTCTAACCAGGAATTGATCCCAAATCACAGTCACTGCAAGGACCAACTGTGTTTACATAAGGAACCACTATGCAGAATGTGCTAAATATAGGTAACTCTGGCCTTAAAGAGCTTACTGTCCACAAAAGACTGAGAGAATAAGGAGCATAGAGAGAAGCTTTGGAAATTAGAGATTTTGAAATCACTATGACTTTATTTGGCAGTGAAGATGATTTCTGCTCTCCCATTTGCCTGTTTTTCTTCAGCAGGGATGTGCAGGCTACCTCAGACTGCAAGTATTAACTTCCATTCCGCTCCTTCACAGGAGAAGCTGTGATAGGAGCCAGGGAAGTAGACTAAAAGAAAATGCAGAGCCAGTATTGTGGAAGTGTGTTTTGTACAGTGTAAAACCAGCCTGGCTGACAGTCCAGAGCTAAGAGTGAAATCTGCAGTAGAACAGCTGGCAGTGCAGATCAGCCATCATGTTCCCTGGGTTCCCAAATTTGCAGAATGTGGAGCTGTGAGCTGGCTCTGCCAGCCATGCCCAGCAGCAGTCTGGGAGGTGTAAATCAGCAGCCTCCAGCCTCAGAATCAAGGTCTCAAGGGACTTATCTGAGGACTAACATAACTCAGTGACTGTCTGCAGCAAAGTTGGACTCAGGAAGGATGAAGCAGGAAGACAGCCGAACAGGAGGTGGCTAAATACAGTTCCTACCAGAATGTGAAGGTGGCTAAAACCAAATTTGCTTCATTCATGCAAATGAGACCTGCTAAGATGTTCTTTGTTCTTCCATTTATTTACTTGTGCCAGGCCAAATCGGACTGCAAGGGAAAGGGGAAAGCAGTACAGCAGTATTGTTTTCTAGTCAGTTAATCCTTTTTGCTGAGTCCTGCTACTGCAGCCAGTTATCTGTATACCTTCAAGCAAAATGGGGATTTAAACATCAAAGTACTAATTTAAATTCTGGAGGACAATCATTGTGGAGTCATCAAACCTTCCAGCAATTGTGCTGGTTTCTCCTTTGCTCTAAACCTTATCCTTCACTCCCAGACACCCACAGCAGCCTGCAAAGCCAGCTGGAGCATGGGCCAGGATAAAGCTCTCTGTAACACCATCAGTCCTTTGCACAAAGGCACGAACCTAAACTGCTCCCCAGCTGCTTGACCAGGCCAGACAATTGGTGTTTAGCTCAAATCAATTTTAAACTTGAAATCTTTGGGTGTCCTGTTTGGTTTCTGAAAGGTTTCTTGTCCAGCCAGCAGAAAAAGGTGGAAACTGTGGCTGAGAGCCCTGGGAGTGAGAAATGCTGTGAGGCTGTGCAGGCAACACAGCAGTGTCAGACCACGCCATGAAATCAAGCACATTCTTCAGCCAGGGCTTCTTATGACCAGGGTCACTTTATTAGGAAAAAAAAAAAGCTTTTGTGCCTTTTGTCTCCTACTGTTTGTTTTTAAGGGCTTCAACTAATGTATGTTAACACCTTAATATTAAAAGCACCGCAGTTATCAGCAGGCTGAGAAGGGGCAGCTCCCAAATAATACCCAAACATTGACTTCTGCCTTCTGTTTTCCTTTGTAGTGGCAAAACCACACATGTCTGCTGAGAGGCACTGTCTGAATCCTCTGCTGTTGAAAAATCATAAGGTGCATTCAAACCTCTCTTCCGGTTCTAAATGGATCCTGAATCATCTGAGCATGTTCCTTTCTGATAAGTACTTGGGAAATAATCTGTGTGACCATATGCAGCCTCCAAGCCCCACAGCCCTTGCTTTTGGATGAAGTGGTAAGTTTTTAACATCTGTCTTTTACTCTCTGACTGCATGAGGAAAGCTTCTTAGTCACAAGAGCAGAAAAATAACACAGAATTGCCAATACCATAAATAAATCAGTACTTGCTCTCATCTATAAATCTATTTGTGTTTAAGCATGGGCCTAGAAAAATCATTCCACAGACAGTTATATGAATAAAACCCAATTGGGTTTTTTTAATGGCATTTCATGGGTGCTGAAGAACAAGGTTCTCAGGACCTTGAAGAGCACAGTATAGGCACGTTTGAGCTGAGTGACTGCTGCAGATTCAAATTTATGCTTGTGGACACGGTCCTGGCAGCAAAGAGCTGTCCCCAGGTGTGGACTGTAGCTCAGGAAGGACGATCAAAACATGCCAAGATCTAAGATGAGAAGGGACTTTTTAACATTAAATTTATTTTGCTGCTGATTTAAACTTTCCTAGCAAAACCACCTGTCTCTAAGATATTTCTGCTAAGAACTGCATCTTGGTCACCTTCCTCAGCCGTGCTGCATGGAAGAGCACCTACCTCTATGAGCATGTAGAAGGAGAGCAGCGTGATGCCCAGGTTATACACGATGAGGTGAGGCCTGAGAGAGAAAGGAGGCCTGTTCTTCATTAACTTGTTGCCCAGCCATATGCAGAGTAGGTATGCTCCAGTAAGGAAAAACGTGGGAAGGTAAGAGTCCAAAAGGAACCATCCTCTAACCCTGGCATCTAAAAAAAAAGAAACACACGGAGCAGGCAATTAAGAAAGCTATGGTAAAGTACTGCTAAAATTAGGCAGAACACATCATGAAAAGAGTCTGCTAAAAAGTGTGAGATGGAATCAGCCATTCTTTACTCACAAGAGCTATCCATTGTTTTCAACTTACCAATATTGCATGCTAAGTCTCAGAGAATATGGGCTGAAAACTGCATGGAATTCCCTAATTATTTAAGGTCACCTATATCACTTCATTTTAATAGTAAAGAGAAAATGAAATGGAAAACCCTATTCTTACATGCTTTTAAAAATTTTTAGTTAATGTTTTAACTTAATGTTTATTTAAATTCTATCTTAATCTGCTCAAGAGACAATTTGCAGATAGTATTAAATACAAAGTATGCATGTAATGTTGCCAGCTCACATGTTATTTTAATTCTGCACTTGCCATACAGGTAGGAGGGTGTATATAGCATTGACTAGAAAACATTGATACAAGGGGAAGACTTTTCCAAAATGTTAAATATGAAAAGCAAGTGGCAAACATTTACTTTGATGGTTATCAAAGATTTTTGGCTGGTGAGGGCTTGCTTTCTCGCAGTTTCTGTCCCACTTGCCTGGTCCTGAAATGAAATATTAAGGTCAAATCCTGCTTGCCTTATTCACACAAGTAATCCCATTGGCAGTAATCAGATAGTTCAGTGTATATGAGCAAAGCCTAATCCCAGATGCCAAGCTGGAGGCACCGCTTTGTTGTCATACGAGCAACTGGATGCTATGAGTGAAAGGGATGTGCTTTCTTCATTTCTATTTTTTCTTACTCCAAGATGGAGCAAAATCTAGAGTCAATTTTCCATAGCAAAATTCTTCAGCCATTTACCTATGGAAAGAACAAGGGGGCATCACAGCTAGTTTTTACAATGACTTATGGAGTAAAGAAGTCAGTGAGGAGTCATTGTGCAGGTCTCACAGAAAGTAGTTCTTTCTGCTCTTAGAAAGATGTCTTTGCTCTTGAAAATGTTTAAATTACTTCATTATTTTTTTACAAAGGCCAAGATTGTGTAAAAAATTGTAAAAGGAAAGCTATTCACAGCACATGAAAAAAAAAAATTTCCTGTTTTTCTGCCTGTATTGAAATTGGAAAAGATTGGGCAATGGATGATGCACCAAGTAAATGTGCCCAAACATTTAGTAATTTCTTGTAATTTTGCTGTACTGTATTCTTTCCAAAAATGCCTTCCTCAGAAATACATGCATACAGGTATATGTAAAGTGAAATTTTACATATGTTAGAGTAATAAAAACTCTGCATATGAGGCTTTGAACACCAGCTTTCTTTCTCATTACATTTTTCCTCTGTTTCCCCCCTTGCTTCCACTGCAGTGGCTGTAACATTCGTCTGTTGAATTTGGATTCCACGAGGGCTGCTAACCCTTTCAAAGGAAAGAGTTTCAAGCAGGCCACCACCACCGTGGAAGCCCAATGCTCTCCTGCTTTTGACTCTCCCTCTTGGACTCCCAAGAACCTCTAGAAACAGAGAGGTGTAGGATTAAAGCAGTCACAACAGCACAGTCCTTCCTTTTATGGCAGCCTTGCTTTGTTGTGCGTTACCAAGCTAGAACACCTGTTGTCTGTCTTCAGATCTCAATGCTTATTTGGATCACCTCAGTGTGAGAAGGAAACACTTCCAACAATCTCTTAGAGCTCACAAGCCACATGTGAAGCACTGGAATGAATATTTTAGAAGTGATTCTGCTCCCTTATGGGCTCTCAACATGATGCAGGAGTCATAGGACAGGTAAAGGTTGAGTGTTTAAGTGTTGATGTCTTAAAAGTGTGTGTTTTAGGAGCATAAGGATTTAATTTATTTAATTGGAAACCTAAATGAAGATGTAGAGAGCAGTCATGATAGCAAGACTGCTATCTAAGGAAAAGTCTCCCATTCGAGGATTGCAAAACTTGATGCATAAAGATTACATACACAAAGGCAAATAGGCATCAGTAGATAACAAAACTGCCTGTTTGCTCAAAGAGGAAAAATATTTAGAAGAGTTCAGAATACAAATTAAACTACAGAAAATAAATTCTGCCCCAGTATGCCCTCAGAAAGTTTTCATTCTGCTGTGAGTGGCCACAAGCATGTGGGCTGATCCACACAAAAGCAGAACTTGTGTGCTTGTTCAGGTCAGCATGTCAAGTATTTTTAAGTTCTACAGTATTCCAGTTTCAAGAGAAATTGTTAAAGCATGTACCCTTCCTGAATATTTCCCACCATGACCTCAATACCTTGAAGAGTAAGAGTTTCTGGCAGGAAGTGGTTTATAAAGGGCAGCCAAGGAACGTGACTGTTCTGTTTCCACTTCCACTTAACCCTGAATGACAAGCAGAGGGAGGTTTTTATGTGTCAAGATGGGGGAGGAAAGGGAATGTATTTCAAAAGAAGTTATCTGAAGAATGAGAGATGAAAAGTATTTCTGTTGACCGACAGTTAAATCCCCGTGTTCAAGTACTATGGAGTTACACTGTCGATAGGAGAAAGGATTATTTTTACAGTATTGAACTTGCACAGCACCTGAAATTGAGACCAAAGCAGTGAATAAAGTCACAGTGGGAAAGCACTGGACTACAGCAGGGGAAGGAACAGGCGCCCACAAGCTCTGATCGCTCCATGAATAAGCTCATTCACAGTCACTGGCCATGATGTGCCAAACCCTTGGGGTGAAATCTTGGCTCCTTCTAAATGAGTGGCAGGCCTCCCAGGCTCTTTAAACATATCAGGCTTTTATCAATGAGGTTTAGAAACATTTTGATTCAAGTTCCTGTATAGCTTTGGCCACTTGGTATCTGAGTAGAGTCAGTCCTTTTTAAGGAGCAGAGGGTAGATGGGTTTGCCCCAGTGCCTTGCTACTGATCATAGTCCATTAAGGAAAAGTACTTTTTACTTTATCGTAACTTTAAAAAAATACAACTCGACCACCTCTGTTTCTTTCACAGGTAAAACAAACAACCAGTTAACTAGATTTAGCTCCTGCAATTCAATATTACTTAATTTTGCATAACACCAAACAATACTCTGCAGATGGAGGGTTAGCCTGGAAAAAATATCTCTTAGAGAAGAAAATTGCTATTTCACTTGTTCTCAATTTGCCTTGAGCACAAAAACAATATGGACCAACACCAAATTGTAAGACCACCCCTTATTAAGAGACAAAACCCATGGGCAGGAATATGGCTGCTGTTCCCTGATCCAATGGGTTTGTTCTACTAATTCAAAAGCAGACACAGATGTAAAGCTGTCTACAAAGCCCAGCTAATACCAGTGAATGAAGGTACAAAATATGCTGATATTTATAAATCAAATTCAGATCTCTGACAGTCTGGCCCTCATTCTAGTCGGGCAGCACTGCAGCATGTGTTAACCTGGTGCTCCCAATGTGACAGAGATTGCCTCTGGGAACCAGAGCGTGGCTTTCTGTCTCTTCTAGTGCCCTCAGACACAGCTGGTAATGATGACAAAGAACTGCATAGTGATACAAGTATTTCAGGAGTTACAGCCTAAAATATATACAATAAACAGGGGATCGGTTTTTAAAATAATAGAGTGCTGTTATCTATCCTTTTAATCCATCTTGCTGCTGAATGAAGTGTGTACTGTGGGTGAAAATCAGTGGAGAGAAAGAAGAGGAATGGTTTGTGGGTTTAAATGTTTGGGGAAGCTCTCAAATTCATTAGATATTCATCTTGGGGTCATTCGATTTAAAACTGATTGCAGTTTATTGTGAATTATTTATGTGAATTATTTATGTGAATTATTTATGTGGATAAGCACACTGGGGGGAGATATACTATTCAGGAAATGCATGATACTGTGTCATTAACCACCAGTTAAATTAAAGATCAGAGTGCAGAGGCGTGGACAAAGAAAGATATTTCAGTACTGATATCTGAAGAAGGATGGTGATGTACTTGGCAAGCAATACAAATAACACTTGTTTAATTGAAGGGCTTTATTAAAACTTCAAGGGATCTTTGTGCTATTCAGAATTGGATCAACTATAGCTTATTCCTTCAGACAATTTCTCTGGACCAACAAGGAAAGAGGAATGAAAGAGAACATCATGTCCATTTGGGAAAAAACAAAACACCAAAAAGTAGTGCTTTCATTCTTCTGATCACATTTCTTTGTTAATATTAAAAGTACTATTGTAGAAGCCATTAATAAAACTTATTCTGCTTTAACCACTTCTGCTGCAGTTCCCAAGCTGTTCAGTGTTTCTTCACTGGAAATCTTTCTTTCAAACTTCATATCTACTCTAGACATGATGGAAAAGATTTTGTAGCCAGCCAGCCAGCTAAGAAAAATTAGAATTTCTTGTGTTTAAGAACACTACATCTTTCCATTTTCCTTCCAATTAAGCAAGAACTCTTTCTGTGAAACAGAAACAGCGAGAACATTACTGCAAAAAAATGGGAATCCATAATCATGCATCCATTCCCACAAGCAGCAGTTCTGGACTCAGCCATGGGTAGAAGTTTGCAAGGCAATTCCTGAAGTTAAGCCCAGCCCTATCAACAACAAGGTGACCTTTCAGGGACCTGCTGTGAAGACTGTGTCCTGTCCAAGTTCCTGTCTCACCCCTTTCTTATATTTGCTCGGCTCTCTTAACCCTGACTGTGATGCTTCAACGTTGCCTGCAGTCTTATTTTAGGTTTGAGGGGTTTTTTACTTACTTGTTTCAATCCTAGCAAAGCATGAGGCACCTCCAACCAACAATTATTTAAGTTACTCTTGTTCAAACTGTTCCAGAAAGCAATAATAGGAAGTCAAAAGATGCATCTGTTCTCCCACCCAATATATTAGTTTATTGAAATTTTGTATGTGATCCTGCAGGTTGCTTTTGCTCCAAGCATCCTTCTGAATTAGGCAATTTAATAAGCAGCTGGACCAAAGAAACTGGGTTACAAATGACAATCAGTCCCAAACCAGATCTTCCACTTTCAGAAAGACCCAGGCTTTCAGGCTTTTTAGTCCCTGTTAGGATGTAAAATTGACTTTCTCTGGTATTCTCAGAAACAAAGGAATCACAAATCATTGCATTGATAGATTTGCTATAATAACTGTGTCTTCCTGATAATACTGTGGTTCTGCCTAGTTTACATTTTTCAATAAGAAGTTGCTCAGCAAATTTATTAGAAATTTTTTGTGTGGTAATCTCTAGAAGTATTATTTCCTTATAGGGCTGTAAGTGGAGCAGCTTACCTCGAGGTCCAAACATATAGTCCACAAATGCATTTACTTCCCGGTCAAAAGCTTTCAGGGTCTCCTAAAAAATATGGAAAAAGACATGTGAAAAAGACATTATCTCTGGGTCACAGAGAGAATACAATTAAAAAAAAAAACCTGCAATAAACTTGCAAAAAGTTTGTCATGCACAAATATTTTCAAAGTACGCAATATCATGTATAATGAAAATACCTCAAACCCCTTTAAAAATTAATTTAGGGCAGATTGTGGCCTAGATAACAATACAGGCCTCATTGCTGGAAACTGCCCAAACCAGAACTCTTTAGCAAGGGAAATTAAGGTATATGAAAACCAGCAAATATCACAGTAAATCTACCTGTGAATTAATTTCAGCACTGAGAAAATGTGGCCAGGCTGAGGAGAGAGATACAGAGTGATGTTGAGCCTCGCTGCAGGGCAGGAACTGCTGTGGATGCATTTGAATGCTGGATATCTCCACACCAGCCTGAACTGCAGACACCATTAACAGATTTGATTCATGAAGAACTATATTTGCACACTGGAAGGTCCAGCCCTGGCCTCTCTATTCCTCTTCTGGGACTGGGCTGTCATCTGGGCAGGGACAAGCTCCTGGCATTCCCAAGCCCCTTCCTTCTGTTTCTTCTGCTCTTGATTTTGGTCCTCAGATTGTTCAAAGTGGACAGATTTTCTGTGAACATGTGGCAATGAGAAGTTCTTTCAGCACCTTAGGCTATAAATCTGTCTCTGCAAGATGTTGTTGCATTCATGTTTTCTTGGAGAAAAAGCCAACAGAACCCCCAAAACTAGAAGTATGTATTTTTCTAAACAAACAAACAAAAAGGATTTGCTCAAAAGAAACTGATGATTCATGACACAAAAAAGTTTCTCATACTTCACAGCACTGAGGAAAATTAAACTAGCTTCTAGGAAAGTGTCCTGGCTACAGCCCATAAAGAAAGGTATTTTTTGAATTTCAGACAATTACAGTAGCAGCCTAATGATGGCTTCTGTCCCAGGAGATGACTCAATTTCCAGGTGCAGGAAAAAATGTGCTTCCATTTTTATCTCCTTGAGCTACACAGTAGTTCTGTTATTATTTCATGACAATGATCCTCCCTTTTGGAAAATGCCACACTACTGTTAGTCTGTGATGTGCCCACCTGCTGTATTAATTTGAAACAGACCTACTCCTGTGCTTAATGGTTTTGTGGTTAGACTTAACAGACTGCTTTGGGAAAAAATACTGTAATGGATTTGAGTGACTTGTAGGAATGAGCATGCAAAGTTATTTGCTTTCATGCTTACATTACATAAATAAACCTTACGTGTCCAGAACAAAGTAAAACACCATTTTTATTCCTTTTATGTTAAAATACTGCAGACAAACCTATTCTCAGCTGCATTGAAATGGAAATTAGCTACTGAATGCTTCTAACAGTTAGATGGAGGAAGAGGAATTGTAGAATATTAAGAAGAAAGAGCAGAATAAAAGAAAATAATCATAAAATTGTTTAGGTTGGAAAAGCCCTTTAAGGCATCAAGTCCAACTGTAAACCCAACTTTGCCAACTCCACCACTAGACCATGTCCCTGGGTGCCACATCTACACATCTTTTAAATACCTACAGGGATAGTGATAAAATCACTTCTCCAGTCAGACTGTTCCAGAGCTCAACCACCCCTTCAGTGAAGAAATTTTTCCTAATATCCAATCTAAACCTCCCCTAAACAACTTGAGGCCACTTCATCCTGTCCTGTCACTGGTTACCTGGGAAAAGAGACTGACTCCCACCTGGCTACACCCTCCCTTCAGGCAGTTCCAGAGAGCAATAAGGTTCCCCCTGAGCCTCCTTTCTTTAGGCTAAACACTCACAGCTCCCTCAGCTGATCCTCACAGGACCTGTGCTCCAGACCCTTCCCCAGCTCCACTGCCCTGCTCTGGACGCGCTCCAGCCCCTCAATGACTTTGCTGTAGTGAGGAGCCCAGAACTGAGCACAGCACTCGAGGTGTGACCTCGGCAGTGCTGAGTTCATGGGGATGATCACTGCCCTGCTCCTGCTGGCCACACTGTTCCTGATCCAAGCCAGGATGCCAGTGGCCTTCTTGGCCACCTGGACACACTGCTACCTCACATTTCATCTGTCAATTGGTCTAGGTCCTTTTCCACAGGGTGGCTTTCCAGCCGCTCTGCGCCAAGCCTGTAACGCTGCATATGGGCCTTGTTGGACCTCACACCATTGGCCTCAACCCATTGATTCAGCCTGTCCAGATTGCTCTGCAGAGCCTTCCCACCCTCCAGCAGATCAGTGCTCCAACACAACACGGGTTACTGCCTTCATTGATCCAACTTGCAACCTCTTACACCTGGTTAGGATGAGCAGACAGCATACTGAGTAGATGAGCCAGTCTGAAATTAAATCTACCTCCTTATGAGTGTGCTTAAATGACACAGTGAGGACTTATACCAGCTGACAACCTTGTTCCCATCTATCTTAATAAGCACTACAAAAATTCAGTGCCTGGTTTGTCTTCATTGGTAATTTGAGAACAGAACTTTTTCAAAGAGGTACAGCAGGGAAACAAATATTCTTCTTAAGAATGTCCTAGCCTTTGCCTCTCTTTCAACATTGTACAGCTTATTTTAGTTTACAGGAAGAAAAATAGAGATTTACAAGATATGGATTTGTAACATTGTTTTAGAAAACATATTTGTTTATATACCTAAAACCAGTGGTAATAGTTTGGGAAAAAAAAAATCTTACTTAAAAAAAGGTAGGTAAATTTGTGTGACTAGTCTTGATATCTTCCTGTCAACACTACTACAAGAGACTAAACTGTATTTCTGGGGTTTAGAACATGTCCTTAATAGTAGCTCTGGGCACATTAGATGCAAATGTCTTGCTCAACATGATCTGTCACATTTCTAAAGAAAAGTAAATAAAACGAGTCTGAACAAATCCATGTGCTCAGACAGCTCACTTCTCTCTGGCAAATCACTGTAACAGCCTTTATCAACGAAGGTATTTGGGTTACAAGGCTAAAGATTAACATGTCTTTCATGTTGTTTCATGTCTTTCATGTTTTGTACAGGACATTGCTCTGGGTATTAGCAATGTATATTCCTTGGCAGGATTTTGGACAGATTTATGGAAGATCTATTTACCTAAACCTATTAAAAAGACAGTAGGTTACCTGAGCAAATCAAATCACCCAAATGGAAAGATCTGGAGGGAGCATAAAGTCAATGATGATAAAGCAACAGAGATCTCTCTGATGAGATATTTCAGTATTTCTGCACAGAAATGTAAGTAAGGGAATAGGTGGCACAGTGCACATAAGTGAATTAGTTCTCATGCCATTGCACCTAAAACAGAATTTCAAAGTCACCGGGTATGTAAATAATATATCACTTCTTGCTATAGGTTTATAAATCTTTGTAAGTGTTGGTCTTCATTGAGAGACCAATATCTGCTGGTTTTCTAGTAGTTTTAGCATAAGTTGTATAAGCTATGTAAAAATTTGGCAAATGCTATCTAAACAATATCAAAATAACTTTGATTTGTCAGAAATACCAATGATCTGTCATTAGGCATTATTTATTGTCCAATGGAAACATTGCCTCTAATGATTCAGATTTCCCTTTATATAGCTCTATAAACCAGGCCATCTGGATCCAACAGAAACACGACAAAAGCCTCTGAAGCAAACATCTTACAGATGAGTAAACTGCATTTAATCTTACTTATGCTATCTGGAAACCTTTTGTATTACTGTTGGTTTGTTTTGGTATTTTTTTAATTCAAAAGCCTTGAATGTCATGCAGCACCTCAAAAATCCGAGATCGCTTGTTCTTACACAGCTACATAGGAATTAGAATACTCTGTACAAAACAAGATCTCATTTCAGACTTAAAGTGGAAATGGGTGCCAGCCTCTGCTCTCTGATACAGCTCCTGGAGCTAACAGTGATATTTTAAACCACCCTGATTGAAAATGCATACATGATTTTTATTATTTAAATGGTGATTTTTTCCTTGATTCCCTGAAGAGTTCTGCTCTGTACATAGCCAGTGTCTGAGAAGTACTGGAATGAATCCAAATTTAGCAGCATGTTTAAAGAAATTGGTATTAGATGCTACCATATTAAAGAAGATTTTGTAAATGGTAGTGTTGGCTCTAGAATGGCTGAGATAGTGGATGAAATGAAGCAAAGTTGAGTCCAACTCAGAACTGCTTATAGATTAAATTGTTTAGCTTTTTATTGCTTGAAGCATTTAAAATTACTCCTTAACAAAGATGTACAATGAGGGACAATCATCACATACTGTTTCAGACAACCTTCTAGGGTTTTGTCATCTTTATGATTTGTGTGTTATATCTGTATGGGAAACACATGTTAAAAAAACCAAAAAAAAACAAAATAAAGCACTCATTTAGGGATTTATATGTGAACTGCAGAGAAAGTTGAAGCTGAAGGCAGAAAGGTGAGCCACATGTTGCTACGAATTGTATCTTATAAAAAGGGAGATAGTAAATGAAATTGGGAGGCAGGACACCCAGGAACTGACAATAAACTGCTGCTTTGTGTAATTTATATTTAATATATGAATCTCACTGCTAGATAATCTCACAGAGAGTAGGAACAAGCTGGAATGAGCTCTTGAGAGAAACACAACTAGCTGGGGCATGAGACTGCTGCTATGGATGTACTGGATGGGAGGGGAAAAATATCTAGATGAGACATTGTCTTAGATCTTCCTTATTAGCATTTTAGATTAATCATTTGAACAAACAGAAACTGGAGTCCTTACTTGACATGGTAATTTCTGTGTCCCACATTCTGGGACATTCTCTCCAGTCCGGGGGCTGACCAGGATTAGGGACTGTGCCACAAAAGCCTTATCCAGCAGAGAGGTGTTGCCAGAGCCCCTAGAAGCAGCACAGCCCTCTGTGGTAACCTGGGCTGGCTAAAGGGCTCTTCTGCCAATGTAAGACGGACCCATGGGAGAGGTTTTTGCTGCTGCAGCAATCTCACTGCCTGAATCCTTCCTCCATCCCT